CATTTTCTATTAAACCAACAAACTGAACAATGAGAACTTGAAATATGTAAAAGTACTAATGAAAGTATTTAATCTGTGCATGTACAGTGGACAAAGATTACAACACACGGCATGTTGCAAACATCCTAACCAGCGTACTTTTGATGTAACATGAGAACTTGAAATGTGTTAAATAGAGAGAAAAGGCTAATGACCTGTCTACAAAATAGAAGTGAATTGAATATTTACTACTCCCTCCGTCCCATAATGTAAGACTTTTTTTACACTACATTAGTGTCAAAAAACGTCTTACATTATGGGACGGAGGGAGTATAATGTAACATGAGAACTTGAAATATGTTAAATAGAGAGAAAGGGCTAATGTCTGGTCTAAAGAACAAAACAAATTTGAATATCAGTTTCGCCAACCCTGGATGATCCAACTCACTTTGTATAATCCAGGAAATTAGGGAGCAAATATAAGTAATCCTTCAAGACGCTAGCAACATCTTCAGGATATACGAATCATTTCTGGTGAAAAGTTGAATGTAGCGGTAACCTTTTCTGAAGCACACAAACGCATATATAATCCTTTTGTTATATCATCTAGATCATCCCTGCAAGTACAGGTAAAATCAGATCAATCTCCATTAGCAGACGAACTCCAAGCCAAGCCAAGAACATGCATGGTGGTGGTAATAAATGTTCTTCTCCGGATTCGACGGAAGGCGTGTAGTGGAGTACTCATCGAGGAAATCACTGCCGGACAGGCCCTTGGCATCGAACAGAAGACCGCACCTCGTTGCATTCTTCTCCTGCCGTTGTAGCTCCCTCACCTGTGTCCTCTCGAAATTAAGGAAAGAGCAGTAAAGTAGTGAACTGGTCGTCAAAAGCGAGCAGAGGTAGCTAAGACGTATAACATTTTCACTGACAGCGCAAAGGGAAATGTGGAGCAAATGTGTTTTTGTTAGTTCAGTGAAAATTAGAGATCAACCTGATGGTACTTCAATTTTATTCTAATCTGCCAAATGCTATTAAGGAACCTCTTGCTACTTCTCACCCCTTGCTCCTCTCCAGATGCCCCCACACTCTCCTCCTCCTCCTCCTCCCCGTCTCATCCAGCGCAAAGGGCAAGAGTGAACCAAGGACTGATAACTTGATCGAGGAAGAAACTTCATTTCCTTAATAGCATTTGGCAGATTAGAATAAAAATGAAGTACCATCAGGTTGATCTCTAATTTTCACTGAACTAACAAAAACACATTTTACACTACCCACGTACTACTATTACTGTCCATTTGGAGTAGAATTTGTGAATGTTTATCTACTGCTGCACTCAAGTTAACTTGAATTAGGTCGGATGAATCAGATACTTCTGCCATTGGCATGAACAGGTCAATACGGCATGCACACTATACTGCCACTTCTGCTTCAGAAGTAAAACTTTTTATTCAAAACCAGCTTCTTCTTCTGAACACATCCAAGTTAAAACTTTTTATTCAGAAGTAAAACTTTTTATATTTGAACACATCCAAGTTCAGAAGTAAAACTTTTTATTCATGACATAGAACCAGCTTCTGCTTCTGAACACATCCAAGTTCACCAGCTTCTGCTTCTGCTTCAGAAGTAAAACTTTTTATTCAGAACCAGCTTCTGCTGCACTCAAGTTAACTTGAATTAGGTCGGATGAATCAGATACTTCTGCCATTGGCATGAACAGGTCAATACGGCATGCACACTATACTGCCACTTCTGCTTTTGAACCAGCTATGAGGATAAATAAATGACCAAATTTAGAAGTGTTGTACTTCAGGTACCTGGCGGCAACGACATTGATCACCTGGTCTCTGCAGAACACATCCAACTCTTCTTGCTATCCTGCAACACGTGGCCACCCCAAGCCTGAAATCCTCGATGCTCCATCCAACCTCTGAGTGGCAGTAAGGCGAAACCAATATCGATGTCATGATGAAGCTTTCCAAAAAAAAATAAGTGTTCTTAACTAATGCATCTAATCAATTTGCCTGTACTCTGTTTCTATGCACTAAGTGTGCCGAACCGCTAAGGAAAAAACATATTTTATGTTATCATATGTAATCAAATACTATGGTAAATGCAATGTATCACCTGTATGGAGCAGCACATGATATATTTATTACTACAAAAGTAGGGCGTGCCAATTATACAGGATAACTTAGTAGTCTCTTAAGGTGCGTTACACATGTCGGATATTACATATTCTAAAAGAATTATTCGCCTCTTTTTTAAGCATTAGAAAGGATACAAAATATTGGTACATTGGAAAGCACTTTTTTACAAATAACTCTGGGTCTGTCCTGGTACCTTAGAACCAGAACATGAAGGAAAACAGACGAATCAACACACAAATACACCATTATTTCACAGGCCTATACTCAATGCAAAGGACAGAGGCAATAAGTGATAGCATATAACCGGAAATGTCATATTTCATATATCAACGTATACAGTAGGACCTATGATAAACCCACATTTCCTGGGTCAACATATCTTTATTGACCATGCTGGAGCAATGAGACACAAATATTCATTATTTCGCAGGACTATACTCAAATTTGAAGGACAAAGGTAATAAGTGATAGCATTATTTCTTGTTTAGCTTCATCGCAACCAGCTACATCCATAAAAAACACCTACACCAACCGAAGAGCAGTTGTCAGGGAGATACAACCAATATCATGTAAACCAAAAGCGAATACTACTGCAAATCTGAAAAATGAGAGCTCCAGAATTACTTTTCAGTGGACCTAAATATTTCCGATTGCCTCTTTTTTGGAGTATAGTACCAAAAGGAACGGTAAAGAGAATGATACAGAACAAAAAAGAACTAACCTTATTTTTGGAATTTCTGTCCATCTTTACTACTGTTGCTTTTCCGATGTTTGTAGAAGGTTCAGTTTGAGTAAAACAGGGGATTCCATCCAGTGAATATCAAGGGGATACATGATCAGTCTGAAACTTGACTCGACAGGCTGAATATACACAATGAAACACAGGTTTCAGTGAGATCATCAGATTCACACAGGAAAGTTGCTTTGAACATTAACTGAAATAGAATGTATGAGTTCCAAAAGTTCCCCTCTAATTGTTACACATATAATTGGTGCAAGCAAACAAGATTCACAACAGATTAACGTACATCAATGAAAAACCAAAAACCAAATTTCTCTGGAGATCAACATAACAGAGTATCAAATTACATCGTTCCTCCAGCCAATTGTTCTCAAATTAAACTATCATAATATTATGAACATGCTTACTAAAATAGACTATAAAAAAATCAGGTGATTCTCTTCTTATTACCGGTTTCATGTGTGCACTGATGAACCAGGGAAAAGCTAATTTAAACAAGTATTATGTGGGTATTATAGAGCATATTTTTCATATCTAATCAACTTGACAGGCACATAGCAAAATTTCTAACCAACATATCTGCACAATACACTGAAAGTAGAGTAAGCAAACTCACCTCATGAGTGGAAGTTGGCTATCTAATCCTGAAGCAATAGTGATGGTGGTTGGTTCGGCCTATGCCCATTGGGTCCTGATATCTTGCTATTGCAAAAATGCTCTTCCCCGTTGCAACAACTATTCTAAAAGTACGAACGTGGATGTGACTATCTAAAGATAGGAACCTAGAATAAATAAACTTCATATTACCAATCATAGTGACAAAACCATACTAAAATAAATTACTTTGTTGGTTAGAAATCTTGATAATCTACATCATAGAGAACAGAATTAAAATCCAAGTTACTGTTTTGCTCATCTACATCACAAAGAAATAAAGCCAAAGTTGTGGTTTGCTCATCTAGATCATAGAGGTTGAACAGAAATAAATCCCAAGTTATTATTTCTATTGGTATCTATAAAATCTACTTGCAAGCAATTAACTAAGCACTCCATAAGCATAAATAAAAAAATGGTATATAGTTCAATAACTATAGAAAGTATATAGTATCATCACATATACAGAGCACATCTTAATTTCGAAAGACAATAAAAAGTATCACAACTAACAACTGAGAAGCATATAGAAACACGTCTAGAAAACAGACAAGCAGGATAGTGTTTGCTGTCATCAACACCTCAATACTAAATATTGGCTAAAACCTGCTATTACAGTAAAATATTAGAAAGAGTACCTTGATAAACTAAAGATAGTTCGATCGTACACATTAAATCTGCGCATGGAATTTCTTTTTAAACGGAACACTACATTTAGAACAGTAGAAGGTCACTCTTGCATACAGAAATTGTAGTATATATTAAAACTGACCATACTGAAGGGTGGCAAGGTTACTCACTGGCTCCATTAGCCACATCGATTGTGTCAATTGCTGCAAGAGCATCCTGATGAGCACTACCCAGTTCCATAAACTCCTCCCATAAAATAAGTATTTTGTTGTATGTCCCAGCTTAAGGCATTAGCCCGTCATAGTTACCTAAAGTACAATTACTTTGTAAGGATGCAACAAATATGCATGAAGATTCCTCAAAAAGAAGTGCACTATTTTTTACTCATGACAATATAACCAGAATAATAAGATCATCAACTGGTAAAAACTCAACCTGATGAGTGACGTACACCACAAATTTTTAGCCAAAGCCTCAAGAAAGCATCTGTACAAAAGTTAAGAAATCTTAAGCAGTGACTTGTCAAATTCCCGTGAACAGAACACTAAAGATAGTATCATTATAACTAGAATATGTGGGATCATGTATGAGCGTAGAGTGCGCTTCAAGGATCATCAAGCAAATAAATATTAGCAGTCTGACACATAGTTAGTGCTATCTGATTCCAATCATAGAAATCATGCATATATGTAGACAAAGCAGATGAGGGCCTTGTTGGGGTTGCAAAGAAGTCTAACAAGTTGCAGATTCCTGTTGTCGTTGGAATCGCCATCGTGCACCAGCTGCAACCGCCGTCACCGACCCGCTCAGGACGTGGTCTGCTGCACGGCCAGATGAGCTGCCTCCTATTGAGCTATGAAAAGGAGGAAGAGGCGGAGCGCAAGTAGGAGTTGAGAGTTTTCTTCAATTGCAGGATATAGCTTCACCAGATCTTTGACAAGAAAATCATGCAACTCCACGGCAAATTCAACCCCAGTAGGTCCACCACCGATAATCACAAAGTGAAGGATCTTCCTTTTCTCCTCTTCACTGAGGTTAGGAAGTGACGCCTTTTCAAAGCAGTCTATCACGCTCTTCCGAATCTTTTGGGCATCCTCCACTACCTGACATCTACAATGTGAGGCTGTAAGCACAAGATATGACTAATACTGCACGGTACAAATACCATATATCTCAAGAGTTTGCAGGAAATTAAACTATAACTTACATCTCAGGATTTAAACATGAGAAATAGCAGAACAGTAAAGAGACAAACAATGCCAATCAGGATTTTACCTTCAGAAAGTGGCAATGCTCCATCACACCAGGAGTGTTGAATGTATTCACAGTAACTCCAAGAGCAAGAACCAGGTAATCATAATCAACCATCAAATCACCATTCCCATCCAAATTAGTCCCAACAGCAGAGCGGTAGTGGATCATCAAATCGATCTTGAAGCACTCTGGTAAATATTCACATGTTTGATTGGAGTATAACCTGGAAACAAAATCAATCTCGAAAGATTACAGAGAGGGAGGATGCCGCATGAAGAGATAGGTAGAGAGAGAGAGAGAGAGAGAGAAAGAGAGAGTATTTGGTGAAGCTCACCTCGTTGTGTTGGCATCGGATGCCGGAGCCGTCGGGTTGGTGCTCAGCTGACCAGGGTGATGACGCGGCAAAGAGGAGGACGCGCAGTCTGAGTTGGGAAGGCCTCCACCCCAGCCTGTGGACCCGATGCTACCCTGCTCCCCCAGCACGGCGACCTGTTGGGCGGCGAGGAAGAGGTAGCAGCGGCCCGAGCTGGCTTGGGAACCTCCTGTCGTCGCACACCCGCTGAGGCCGCCGTCTTCCGCACCACCGCGCGAGCCGTCGGTCAACGCTGCACCTCCCTCTCCTCTTTCCTCTCTCTTTCTCCTTCCTCTCCTTCCTTCTCTCTCCCTCATTTTCTCTTTCTCCCGTAGGGAACGATCCATGGCGCTGGATCGATTCGAGCGTCGCCCTTCCCTTGCAGGTCGCCGCCGCGCCCGCATGCCTCGGGTCCGGTGGGATCCAGGATGACGAGGGGGGAAGGTCGCCGCCGCGCCACCATCTCCCCCCTCCTCCTCCGCCACCAGAGGGGGCCGCCGCCACCATTGTCGAGGGAGTGGAGGGGATGAGCGGATGTAGGGGAAAAGATTTTAGGGTTGGAGACGAGGGGGGTAGAGGAGAAAGCGTACGGGCGCGGGGCTCACCACAGCGCGGTGGTTTTTTTCCTTCGCGTGGTGCGCTGCACCCCCCACGCGCGGCGCGGTGCGGTGGTCTTTTTTCTCTCCCGTGGTACCGTGCGCTCGAGGCCTTCGTTGTGACTACCCCTCTAGGAGGCTTTATATGTTAGATTGTTGATATTATAACGATAAAAATGTGTGTGATAAAAGCCAAACATCAAAATGGTACTACCACATGTTCGTCACACATATTCAAACGTACAATTAAGAGTTCAAACTCACCTTGGGCATAAAATCATTATTTATGAAATATGCCACCTTCAAGAGCCTGAGAGGATATAATAGGATTGACTCTAAATCTTGGCATAGTTCATATATTTTGACGTTGTTTGATCCATCAAACTTATGGGAGGATAAGGCAGGATCCAGACAAAAACAAAGAGATAAGGCATACTGATAACCCACAAGTATAGGGGATCAGTTGTAGTTTCTTTCAATAAGTAAGAGTGTCAAACCCAACAAGAAGCTAAAGGTAGAACAAATATTCTCTCAAGTTCTATCGACCATCGATACAACTCTATGCACGCTTAATGTTCGCTTTACCTAGAACAAGTATGAAACTAGAAGTACTTTGTAGGTGTTGTAGGATAGATTTGCAAGATAATAAAGTGCATGTAAATAAAAACTAGGGGCTGTTTAGATAAATAAACAACTAAGTTAGTTTTATTAGAGAGTTTTTTGTCACAAGAAAGTTATTTGTCCCTAGGCAATCGATAACTAGACCGGTAATCACTATTGCAATTTTATATGAGGAGAGGCATAAGCTAACGTATTTTCTCTACCTGTATCATATGCACTTATGATTGGAACTCTAGCAAGCATCCGCAACTACTAAAGATCATTAAGGTAAAACCCAACCATAGCATTAAAGTATCAAGTCCTCTTTACTCCCATACGCAAACAACCTACTTACTCGGGTCTGTGCTTCTGTCACTCACACCACCCACCATAAGCGAATCATGAACATATTGCAAACCCTACAGCGGGGATCCCTCACACTTGCGCGACACGGAGAGCACCATAGGACAGCACCAATAATAAAACATACAACTTGAATCAATCATGATCACCAATCAACCCATAGGACAAAACAGATCTACTCAAACATCATAGGGTAGTCATACATCATTGGGAAATAATATATAATGTTGAGCACCATGTTTAAGTAGAGATTACATCGGCGAGAAGAGGTGTTACACCGCTGCATAGAGGGTGAGAGAGTTGGTAATGATGGTGGCGCAGTTGTTGGTGTAGATCGTCGTCACGATGATGGCCCCGACGGCGTTCCAGCGCCACCGGGAGAGAGGGGGAGAGAGCCCCCACCTTCTTCTTCTTCCTTGGCCTCCCCCTAGATGGGAGGAGGGTTTTCCCTCTGGTACATGGAATCCATGGCAGCGGAGGGGCGGGAGCCCCTCCGAGATTGGATCTCTCTCTGTTTTCTTCTGTTTCTGCGTTTTCAGATTCTGACCTTTCACCATTTCTTAAATTTCCGGAGATCCGTAACTCCGATTGGGCTGAAAATTTAACACGATTTTATCCAGATATTAGCTTTCTTGCGGCGAAATAAGGGCACTAACCACCTTATGGGGTGGCCACGAAGCCCCCTGGCCGCGCCCTGGGTAGGGGGGCGCACCTCCAGGGCTTGTGGGCCTCTCAGGCATCGTCTCGCGTTGATTCCAATTCCCAAAAATTGCATGTATTCTAAAAAATCTCCGTAAGTTTTTATCGCGTTTGGACTTCGTTTGGTATGGATATTCTGCGAAAAAAATATGCAACAAACAGGAACTGGCACTGGGCACTGGATAAATATGTTAGTCTCCAAAATAGCATAAACAGTTGCCAAAAGTATATGAAAGTTGTAGAATATTGGCATGAAACAATAAAAAAATTATAGATACGATGGAGATGTATCGGCATCCCCAAGCTTAATTCCTGCTCGTCCTCGCGTAGGTAAATGATAAAAAAGATAATTTTTGATGTGGAATGCTACCTAACATAATCTTGATCATATAATATAATCATGGCATGAATATTAAGACATGAGTGATTCAAAGCAATAGTCTATCATTTGACATTAAGACAATAATACTTCAAGCATACTAATAAAGAAATCATGTTTTCTCAAAATAACATGGCCAAAGAAAGTTATCCCTACAAAATCATATAGTCTGGCTATGCTCCATCTTCATCACATAAAGTATTTCATCATGCACAACCCCGATGACAAGCCAAGCAATTGTGTCATACTTTTAATGTTCTCAATCCTTTTGAACTTTCATGCAATACATGAGCGTGAGCCATGGATATAGCACTATGGGTGGAATAGAATATGATGTTGGAGGTTGTGTGGAGAAGACAAAAATGGAGAAAGTCTCACATCGACACGGCTAATCAACGGGCTATGGAGATGACCATCAATTGATGTCAATGCGAGGAGTAGGGATTGCCATGCAACGGATGCACTAAGAGCTATAAGGGTATGAAAGCCCAAACTAAAACTAAGTGGGTGTGCATCCAACTTGCTTGCTCATGAAGACCTCGGGCATTTGAGGAAGCCCATCATCGGAATATACAAGCCAATTTCTATAATGAAAATTCCCACTAGTATATGGAAGTGATAATTCAAGAGACTCTCTATATAAAGAACATGGTGCTACTATGAAGCACAAGTATGGTAAAAGGATAGTAGCATTGCCCCTTCTCTATTTTTCTCTCATCAATTTTTTTGTTTTGGGCTCTTTAGCCTCTTTTTTTGGGCTCTTTGGCCTCTTTTATTTATTTAAGTCTGGAGTGTCATCCCGACTTGTGGGGGGATCATAGTCTTCATCATACTTTCCTCACTTGGACAATGCTCTAATAATGATGATCATCACACTTTTATTTACTTACAACTCAATATTACAACTCGATATTTAGAACAAAGTATGACTCTATATGAATGCCTCTAGCAGTGTACCAGGATGTGCAATGTTCTAGCATAGCAAAGATATCAAAAAACGGACAAGCCATGAAAATATCATGCTAGCTATCTTACGATCATGCAAAGCAATATGACAATGATTTCTCAAGTCATGTATATGATGATGATGGAAGTTGCATGGCAATATATCTCGGAATGGCTATGGAAATGCCATAATAGGTAGGTATGGTGGTTGTTTTGAGGAAGATATAATGAGGCTTATGTGTGATAGAGCGTATCTTATCACGGGGTTTAGATGCACCACGAAGTTTGCACCAACTCCCGAGGTGAGAAAGGGCAATGCACGGCACCAAAGAGGCTAGCAATGATGGAAGGGTGAGAGTGTGTATAATCCATGGACTCAACATTAGTCATAAAGAACTCACATACTTATTGCAAAAATTTATTAGTAATCGAAGCAAAGTACTAATACGCATGCCCCTAGGGGGGTAGATTGGTAGGAAAAGACCATCGCTCGTCCCCAACCGCCACTCATAAGGAAGACGATAAAAAATTAAATCATGCTCCGACTTCATCACATAATGGTTCACCATACGTGCATGCTTCGGGAATCACAAACCTTAACACAAGTATTTCTACCAATCCACAATTACTCACTAGCATGACTCTAATATCACCATCTTTATATCGCAAAACTATTGCAAGGAATCAAACATATCATATTCAGTGATCTACAAGTTTTATATAGGATTTTATGACTAACCATGTGAATGACCAGTTCCTGTCAACTCTCTAAGTAGATATAAGCGAAGCATGAGAGTTCAATTCTTTCTACAAAAGATATGCCCATGCTCTAACAAATATAAGTGAAGCAAAATAGCATTCTACAAATGGCGGTTTTTTATGTGTAGACAAACAGGAAATCCAAACTTCAAATGATATAAGTGAAGCACACGAAGCATTCTATAAAGCCATACTCAAAAGATATAAGTGAAGTGCAAAGAGCATTCTATAAATCAACCAAGGACTATCTCATACCAGCATGGTGCATAAAAGGAAAAGGAAAAAATAAACACAAAAGACGCTCCAATAATTTACGCATATCATGCGACGAATAAAAATATAGCTCCAAGCAAAATTACCGATGGTCATTAGAAGAAAGAGGGGATGACTTGCGGGGCATCCCCAAGCTTAGTTGCATGGGAGTCCTTGAATATCCCCATACTTCTGACGTGTAGGCTCCAAAAGTATATGGGCATCCCCTCTTTAAGTAGAGCACCTCGTACATCCCCAAGCTTAGGCTCCTTCCACTCCTTATTCCTTCATCCATCGTGATCTCACCCAAAACTGGAAAACTTCAATCACACAAAACTTAACAAAACCCTCGTGAGATCCGTTAGTATAATAAAACAAATCACCACTTTAAGTCATGTTGCAAACCCATTCATATTTTGTTTTTTCAATGTAGGTATTGTATTATAACTTCTCCATGGATTGTACCACCGGTAAAATTGATAGTTTCATCAAAACTAGCAAAACAATGCATCAAAAACAGAATCTATCTTAAGCAAGACAGTTCGGTAGTAATCTGAACATTAGCCATACCTTTGTAACTACAAAAATTCTGAAAAATTAGTACAAAATAAAAAAAATGCATAAGAGTGTTGTGTAAAATAAATCAATTTTTTTTGACATTCCAGTAAAACATGTAAATTCACGCACTACAACCAAAGTTTCTATTTTTACACTACACACACCAAACAAGCAATCTAATCATCCTAAAGGTAAATCTTGGCACATTATTTTTATAATACAATGGATTTGTATAAGGGGATAATTATTTTTG